CTAAGTCCTACAAACTTAGAACTAGCTCAATCCACTTATGATTTTGGATCAAACGAAGATATATAGCCCTGTTAGTCCCAGATCCTCGTGTGTTCATCATAGAAGATAATGAACAGTTGAGAGAGAATGGGGCAAAAATGGTTTTTGATGGTCACACCCTAGGCTAACTTCATTCGAAGTCCTAAAACCTAAGAGAGAAGGGGCATAGGTGGTTAGTGGGGGGCTACATCCTAAAACCTACGGCTATCGTGCCCTAAAATGTGAGTATCAAAGGAAAAACAATGAAGAGATTCAAAGAACTTACCAGTTTGGGGGCGAAGGTCGAATCTTCGAGCACGAAGACAGTCCAAGGCAAGAATGGTGTTTGATAGAGAGGATGGCACGTTGGGTCGTCTGGAATGGAAGAGAAGCAGTAAGAAAGAAATGTGAAGGGCAAGTGACGTGCTTATAGGAGAAAAAAAACCGCTAAAATTCAAATGTGAAGAGGCGGCGGGGTTGGCTGTACGAGGCCAATGAGCGAAGGACGCGTGTCCCTATTGACGACGGCGTCAGTACTGAAGAGACAGAATGGCGAGTTGAGGCGTCGACCGAGCAAGTCAAGAAACTGAGCATGGGGATTAGCTCGGTCAACGTCTTGCGAATTTAAGTAGGGCGGAGAATCGACCCCGGTCGGATCATGTAATCCTAGTCACACTAGCACGGACGAAATTAAGGGGCAATTGAGAGGGAGGTTTCATAATTCGGCTTTGGGCCGCGGTAATGGCCGGGCTAAAATTGGACCAAGCATGTTTGGGCCGAGCCGGGTTTGGCCAATCTAGGGGCAGTGCACTCGATTAAAGCCCTGGTCCAATTTGGCCGGGATAATTTTGCTCTCAGCCCGATTCACATTATTTGCTCGTTGAGATTGGAGGGTAAAATCCTCCGCAGATCAGTCCAACTAAGCAAGAGCCCCGTCATAACGGAGCTCGGTTCAGAGCCTTGCACGTCTCGGAAGTATTGCGGTCATAGGAAGATGGGGCAGCGCCACCAAGTTGTCCGTTCGCGCCAACGCCGTTTGGCGTTTTGGTTAGGCGGTGTTTAGCTATATTTGCTCTTACACGTAGGAAAGTGGGATAGAAGAACAGGTCCACGCGTCAAAAGGCGAATGGACGTAGGGGCGCGCGCAAAAGGTACATAAACGTGACTGCGCCCCCCATGCTGGGATGGAACATCTTCAGGTGAGAGAAAACCTAGCACATTGTCTATCTTCTTTTCTCTCTCTCTCTCTCTCTCTCTCAGTGTGTGCTGACTTGACCGTCGAAGGGGTTTTCCGGCAACGTACCGCCAGGTAGTTCGCTTTCGTTGTGTTCTCAGGTCGATCAGAAGAAGGCACAGCTTGGACACGAGGAGTACCGACAACGTCGGATATTTGGCTCCCGTACAGCTTACAAAAAGAAAATAAATAAAAACCGAGCTTCGTGCTCCAAAAGATCCCCCTTCCCTTCACTTTGGCATAAGCACAACGCAATCACCTGAAAATGGTTTCCACTAAGGAATGAGCATGAAACTCAGCAGAGATAATCTAAACAAAGTGCATGTAGTTTAACAATATGATAAGGAGCAATACAAATGTTTTGCCAATGACCAAAATATACATTTTTCTCATTTTGAAATCCATATTGCATGCACTTGTTCCTAAACATAACCAATTCAATTATCCACTTGATAAAACAAGAGGTGGTAAATACAACACTGGTAATCTCTAGGTTGGTATATACAAGTAGGCTCTCAAAGTACTATCAAAACCATTTTAGCTGCTCCTAACTGGAAGGAACTTGGTACATATTCCACACGTGTTTTCGGACCTTCACCATGGATCTCAAGCCAACTTAATTCTCAATTCTACACCCCTTAACCGGATTCACCAAAGTATTTACCCCATAACTCAATACATTTCAAATATTTCTGAAAGCCAATTTCTCAAATCCAATGTGAAAAATAGATCACGAGGTTATGCGATGATCAATATTGGTAGGTTCCTATGTGTTACCAATTCCGCGAACAAACTTGGTTTTCAAAGTTGTGTTTTTTTCTCTGTTTTTGGCTTTACCTCTCAAGCAATGAAACCTGTGCTCGAGCGGAAAACTTACACTCTCAATAGTTTGGCTTGTCTACAAAAGTACTGAGAGTTGTGTTTTTATGCTCGAGCGAACATTCCAGCACTCGAGCGTATGTCCTTGTTTAGAAACACGCGTTTAAGTCACACCACTCGAGTGGCCATTCCTGCGCTTGAGTGGTGATCGCGAATCTGACTGCTATAAATCTACGATTTAATCTGTTTCTAGGGTACGGCTTCCAGATCTTCTTTGAGGGAATTAGGGTTTTCTTCTGGAGCACCTTTTCTAGTTTCTTTGATGTTTGTTTGAGTTTAACTCAAAATTTGATAAGTTTACATCAAAGGATTGTTTGATTATTCAACACAAGAGTGTTCTTCTTCAATGGATTTCAGAGATTCAAGCATAGAGTCTTTGAAGGAGATTGAAGCTGCTCGTGGTCATTGATTCTACATTCATGTTGTGGATTCGACATCAAGCTGATCAATTCCTAGATGAAGGTGTTGGTGAAAGAGACACGGATTCTTGAAGACAAGTTTACACAGGTTAGGTAAATTGTTTGGTAAATTTGTGTTCTTTCTTTCTTCTTAGTGGATTGATTAGTGTCATTATATTTGTGGTTTTTTTATCACAATTGAAGGTGCTCCAACTGTGATTTTTTCCACGTAAAAATCACTTGTGTCGATTTATTATTTGATAAAAAAACAATCTAAATCACTTTCGTATGTGCTTGATGATTTAGATTGTTAGTTTTGATTGTTTGGGAATTATTGTAATTAAATCTGTTACGAATCACGAATCACGTAATTTTTCAATTGGAATCAGAGCAAGTCACTCTTTGTTTTTAATAAAACTATAGAAGTGTGATTTGTGTCATGGGTTCAATTCGTGAAGGTAACTCGACCCATAGACCTCATTTACTTGATGGGACAAACTATTCTTATTAGAAAGCTTGTGTGAGGGCCTCTTTAAAATCTATTGATGAGAAAGTTTGGCATTGTGTCTTCTATGGGTGGAGCGAACCTAGTATCATCATCGATGGTGTTGATATCCCTAAACCACTTGATAAATGGGACACAATTGATTATGAAAACTCGAGCTGGAATAGTGAAGCGCTTAATTCTCTCTTTTGCTCCATCACACCAGAAGAGTTTTGACATATTTGTATGTGTGAAGAAGCAAAAAAGGCTTGGGACATTCTTGAAACAATTCACGAGGGTACTACTGCTATTAAAATATCAAAACTTCAACATCTCACCTCTTCCTTTGAAACTCTTTTTATGCAAGATGATGAGACGTTTGATGATTTTTATGCCAAACTTAGTGACATCATGAATTTCTGTTACACACTTGGTGAAAAAATTCCTAAATCTAAAGTTGTTGGAAAAATTTTGAGGTCCTTACCTTGATAGGTTCTAATCAAAAGTGACAGCTATAGAGGAGGCTCAGGATGTTAAGAACCTCAAGCTTGATCAGTTGGTTGGAAGCTTGCAGACTTATGAAGCCCACCAGATTTCTAAGAAAAAACAAAACGATAGTGTGGCTTTTACTAGTGCTCATGAGACTGCTAAGAATCCTGAGGTTGAAATTGATCTAAAGTCCGAAATGACAGCTATGTTTACCAAATAGTTCAAAAAAAATTTAAAGAAAAAAAAGCCTAATTTCAAGGACTCTAGTTCAAAAGATAAGGGTAATTAAAAACTAAAACTTTTCCACCAAGAGGTGCTCCTATAGTTGAGAAGAAGAATGTGCGAGGACAAGGTATCAAGTGCTATGAATGCCAAGGTTTGGGCATATCGCGCTTGAATGTCCGTCGAAAAAGAACTGAAAGAAAGTCTACACACTGACTTGGAATGATGAAAGCGGGTCAGAGCAAGAAGCTGAAAAAACCAAATCTGGTGTAGACGGAGATAGTACCTACATGGCATTCTACTCTTGTGTCACTCAATCAACCACAAACCCGGTTGAGTTTGCTCATAGGCCTAGTGTGCATCGTACTCTTACTTTTGATGGGAGTAATTACTTATAGTGGAAGTGTGGAATGAGAGTCTATCTCAAAGCCTTTGATTCTAAGGGTTCGTGTACAATTGAGGAGAATGTTGAAGCACCATTTGTAATTGATCCAATCACCAACCAAAAGGTTAACAAGCCGACTGAGGAGTGGAGTGATATTGAAAGAGCTAACATGGAAAGTAGTGAAAGAGTTCTGAACTCCATCCATGAAGCCACTTTTGAAAAAGAGCAACAACGGATTGCTCACTACAAGAATGCCAAAGAAGCATGGGATATTCTTATGCACTTTCATGAAAGAGAAGAGTCATCTTCACAACCATCCAGCTATGTTCTTGCCTTAATTGCTCGACTGGATGCGCCTGAGAAAAAAGAGAACCAAAAAGAAGATAATGATGATAGTGATGGTGATGAACTTCAACAAGCTTATAAAAAGCTATATAGTGAATCTCTAAACCTATCCAAGATGAATGACAAACTCACTATCAAACTCAAAGCATGTGACAGTAAGAATGTCAAGCTAAAGAAAGAGATTTCAGTAACAAGTAAGGATGTCATCAAGATCTCGATTGATAGACAAGATCTCTATGCAAAGCTCTTGACTTGTGAAATCAAAAGGAATGAACTTTTGAAAATGTATGCCACATATGAAGAGAAGATGGAATCTCTTGAGATAACACAAGTTGCAATGGAAGAACGTGTTGGTCAGAAAGAGGAAGAACTCAAAAATGCTAGAGCTATGATTGATATGTGGAATAGAGGGTCAAAGACGCTAGAAGACATCATCGGGTCTCAACAAATGAGTTGTGGCAAAATTACGATAGGCTATGGTGATGCAACACCTCAAAGGGAAAGGCTGCTTCATCACATGACATCAAGACTCAAGCAAAAAGAAAGTTAAAGGTTCAACAGGATGATAAATCTCTCCATCAACCTAAAGAGGGTAAGATCAACAAAAGGAAGGTAAAACCTATTATTGTTTGTCATTATTGTGGTAGGTATGGCCACATTCGCCCTCATTGTTATGAGTTGTTTGGTAAGGTGTCCCAAAAAGTTAGAAATGTTAATACTTTTTGGGTTAGGAAAAAACCTTACACGTCTAGGTGGAATACCAAGATTCATGATGGTATTCACAATGCTAAGACATTTACCTAGACTGCCAGTCCCGCTTCTATTAAGACCAAAAAGTTGGGGTGAGAAAGAGTGACCTATCTTGTTTTGTTGTTCACATTGCACTAAAAGCACGTGACTCACACATGTGGTATCTTGATAATGGGTGCTTTCAACACATGTCAGGTGACTAATCCTACTTCACATCTCTTGAGAAATATGAAGGAGGAATTGTCACCTTTGGAGATGGCGGCACTTCTAGAGTCATTGGTAAGGGCTCTATAAGTGTGGTCGGTCTACCCAAGCTTGAAAATGTGTTATTTGTTGATGGCCTTAAAGCAAATCTTTTGAGCATTAGTCAAATGTGTGATTCTCATCGCGGAGGCCTTGGTCCTTCACCGAGTGACAAAGTCAGAGAAGCCCTCCTTTGGCTCTTGCCTAGTTGCCTCGAGATCACGAGTTATGACCTCGATTTGAGTATTGTACGAATATTGGGCAATGAAGGCCTCAGCCATCTCCTCCCAATTTCTCTTCACTGAATCCTCCAGTTTGGCATACCAGATGGCCGCAATACTCGACAGGCTCCAACCAAAGAGGGATAGCTTCTGCATTCTAATCAAACCCATCGGGCGCAGAATATCTGAAAACAGCCTCAAATGGACCATAGGATCACCCGAGCCGTCGAAACGATCTATGTAAGGCATTTTGAATCTATCCAGCAATGTCACCGCTGAATCTGTGTAGTCGTCCTCTATGCCTGGGATCGAGTTGACTCCCTGAGCTCGCTTAAACAGCTTGTCGTGCTTGCTCTCTTTCAGAGCGGTTGGATCGACCTCAAATTCGAACGGTGTGTCCACCGGGTTGGCCGGTGGTTTAGAAGTCTGAGGTGGGACCAGCCCTGCTAGCTGAGGTGGGACTAGTGTGGAAACCCTGTTTTTGACCACCCTTAAGACTTGGGCGCTACTGATTGTTTATTTGGTGATAAAAGATGTGCAGGGCAAATGTTCGATTTCTTCGGTAAGGAGAGAGACAAATCCTAACCTCACACCCCCTTTTTGGACCAATATGATTTTGACCAAAAAGATTTTAAACCTTAAAACCCTCTCTTTCAAAATTTTTTTGAAAAATGATTCTACGATGTTCCGAGGCTCGCATTTTGTTAAATGTCACACTTTTTAGTAAACTGAGCAAGGACAAAGTGGAAATGAATGAAGGAGAGATGAAATCTTTTGAAAAATATTTCAAAACACCTTGTTTAGGGGTGTGGATTTGAAGAAAATAGGAGAGGAGAGGAGAGAAGAAAACAAGTTGCAGAAGAAGTTCGGCATGAATCCGAGTAGGATCAAAACTGAGCAGTCTTCACTCAAACAGGTATAACTTTTTTCACAGTTGAAATTTTGATGTGGGGCTGACACCATTGGAAATAAGACTTCAAGGGCTTGAATTTAGGCTCAAGAATGACCTGCAAAGGAGTCCAGATGAAGGATTTATGTCCGGTTGAAGTCGGGCCCAAAAAGCAGATTTTTCTGTCTAACCAGAGGTGGAGGATGTGGGCCATAAATGGGATTTTTGGGCCATGTGCCGGCCATGAATGGCCAATTCCGGCCCCCTACCATCCAAAAGTGTCCCATTCCAGCCATGGATGATCAAGTGCCGGCCATTGATGCCAGAAAGCAGTTTTTGGCAGATATTTGTTGTCGAACAGTTCCAGCTGTCTCTCTTGAGATATTTTCGATCTAAGGCTCTTATATTGCTATATATTGAAGCCAGATATCTCATATTGAAGAGTTAGAACAATTTGGCAAAGGTTTGGGAGCCTCTCACTCTAAAACCTCTCTCTCTACAATCCTTTCTCTCTAAAGCTTTTGTGCTAGAATCTTGCATACAACCGTTTTCAACCTATCAACCCTTAACAAGAGTGGTTCATATTTGGGCTGAAATTCCTTGAGGCTTTGTTTGAGCTCCAAAAGGTGGTTTTAGCTTGATTTGGTGCATCATTTGTGCCTAGAGTGCTCTTTGCTTCAAAGGTATAATACTTACCTTCTTTAAGCTTGCTTTGAACACTTGTTTTGCCATCTTTTTCCACCATTTCAAGGCTGGTTTTAAACTGTAAAAAACTCTGATTTTGAGGTTTTAAAATGGTGGTTTAAGCCTTGTTTCGTTAGGGGGTGTTTTGCTCCCTTTTGCTCCTTGGCTTGTAAAGCCTTTTGAGCTATCTTTCAAGCTTTTCAAACAATCTCTTTTTGGCCTTAAAACCACTGAATTCCAAAGGAATTTTAGTGGTGGAAAGCTTGTTTTGAGGCCCAAAATGGGAGGGGGTGGTCCCCTCTCCTCTTGTCTTGTTTGCATGTGTTGATAGCCTTCCAAATGAGCATGCATCTCAACCTTTTTGAAGCTTAGTTCAAGCATGTTTTGGTGACATTTTGGACCTGCTATAACTCTGTTTTAGGCTAGTTTAGTCATTGGTTGCTTGTTTCTTACACTTGTAGTGTAATCTTGCTTAATAGCCTTGAATGCCTAAAGAGTTAGTCCATCATTCTAGCATGTATTAGCTCTATCTCAGCACATTTTTGCTAATGTTATAGCATTCTCTAACTCTGTTTTGAGTGGTCTTGGGCTGTTGAGGCTTGCCTTGCATAGCTATAGTGTAAATGGCTTTACTAGCTTTGTGTTTTAGGCCCTCTAGCATGCGTTGTTTGTGATGTTTACATGATATGGCATCATTTAGCATGTAATTTCAGCATCCTAACCTCTATCATATGCTCATGAAATATGCACTCTTTCTTTACTTTTAAGAGTTATGCCTTGAGCCTTGCTTGCGAGCTAACAAAGGAGCATGATTTTCTTGCTTGTTGTGCTTCAAATCTAGCATGTTTAGGCCACTGTTTTGGCATGATTAAGCTCTATCCAGAGCTGGTTTGGCCATTTGAGCATTGTCTTGCATACCTCTAGTGTAATACACTTCACTAGCTTTGATGCTTAAGCCTTTCAACATGCATTACGTGGGTTATTTGCATGGTTTTAAGTCACGTAGCATATTATTTCAGTGCTGAAATATATGTCATTGTGCTCCATTGTTTCAATCTTTCACTTGCCTTGACAGTGATCTTAAGCCTCTTGTTGGCTTGAGCCTGGAATTGAGGCTCTCATGCCTAATGGTTTTAACCTTCTCTTGAGGGTTTCTACTAACCAAAAGCATGAGGCTTCTTTCATGCTTAAGGCGCTTCTGGCTAAGACCATCTTTCCAATTAGAGGACCTTTCACAATTGGACAAATTGGTTAATGAATGGCTTGGTAACTTAAAATGTTTAAACAAGAATTGAATCAAGTAAAACGTGCCAAGATAAGCATGTTGCATGTGTGCATTGCATTGTGTTCAATCGGATGTTATATTGAACACAAGGCGGATTAGTCCATTTCATACTCAAAGTGATGAAAATGAGCCAATCCCCCTTGTCTCCATTGCCTTTGATCACCCTTGATAAGGTAGTGGTCTTAGAGTCTTGGTTGTTGTGCATTTATTGAATGTGTACAAGATTGGATCTTTGGCCATCATGCATTGTATGCTTGATTAATGGCCTTGGATACAATGGTGTCTCTCCCTTGATGTTTTGAGATGATATGGAGTGGTATAGTACATACATATCCTAGGGAGACCCTTCATTTCCTTTGTTTTGTGCTCTGTTGCAGTTTGGTGTCATAGCACACCAGTGGCCGGCAGTGCCTCACTGATGGCTGGCACTGCTTCATCTATGGCCGGCAGTGCCTCTGTTTGGCTAGCAGATGGCTGGCAGCAAGCTCTCAGGGCCGGTAGGCCACCGGTGCACTCCCCAGCAGTGATTTGGTAAAATGGTGTAGAAAGTTCTTGGAGACACCCTGCAAACAGAGCCTCTTAAGAGCAAACTAGAATTCTTTTCAGGGCGAGAAACTGAATGCATGCATCTTCTAATTTCCAAGCAGAGCCGAGGCAGCCTAATTCAAATGCTTTACTTGTTACTTAGCATAGTTTTGTAATTTAATTAATTAGTTTACTAATTAGTTAAGTGTTGTAATAATTAAGTAACTTAGCTTAGCTATTTCTTTATTTTGTTGTGTAATAATTAGTCTAATCAGTTTAATTAGATTAGTTAGCTTAGCTTATTCGGGCCCTCCTGCGAGAGGGCGCAATGTTGTAATAAGGGTGCGTGTGTGTGTGCATGTCTTCCAACCCCACTTCTTTCTCCTTGTTACTTAACCGCTTTCGATGGTTAGTTTAGGGCACGTTTTGTTTAGCATACCTTATGCTTGCATGTTTGCATCATTCATTTGTATTACATGTACCAAGGCTCAGTGCATCATTCAAACTGCATTCTATTTCAATACTTATTTGAATACGTGTATCAATTGTTGCATTCATATGCAATCTTAGATAGCCGAGCCTAATTAGTTGCATTTTGCATGTGTTGCATTAGGCATTCTGTGTAGTTAGGATCATGCATGATTTCTAACTAGCCTTTTGTTTTGGCTCATAGTACACTACAAGTGTTACGCTTTAGCAAACTTGCATGAGTGTGAGTGTTGTCATGATCGCATGCTTGCCATGAAGCTATTCGCTTAAGTGATTAACTGCATGAATGCCTGTGGGTGAAGGCTTGATTGCCTGAATTGGAACAACTTGATGATTGTGAGTTTTAAGCCCACTTTGCGAAGTGGCAAAATCATGTTTTAAAGCTCACTTGAGGGTGGCAAATTCGCGCTTTAGCCTACTTGCGAGTAGCCCTTTCAAACCATTTTCGAAAAACAAACATGAGTTGTTTTGTTCCAATTCTCGTGATTGAGTCTATACTTGTATGCTGTGCGCATCACATAGTAAGTTAGCTAATAACCGGAATAAGAACACATGGTTTATAAAACAACATATCATGCTTAGTAGAGGTCGATACTTTGATCGGGTGAGCAGGGGTGCTCATTGCAGGACCTTCCCTTCTCGTACCCAAGTTCCTGAGCCGAGTTAACTTTGGTGATGACAGACACGTGGCCTTTGGCACGAGTCAGGGTTTCCTAAATTTTCCAAAATAAAATATTTATGTGGCGACTCTGTAATTTGGCAAAGCAATCCATGTTTGGCGCTTTTTCATTCAAAATTGATTTTCCAAAACCAATTGCCAGATTTGGACTCTTTGGTGTTTATCAGTCTCACATTGCACTTTGTGAGATTAGATTCAGAGCCATGACAGGAGTCTGAACTGTAGTAAGACCAATTCGTGCTTTCTCCCAAAGGGGGGCGCGCGAAGAAAGTCGGGTCTACAACTGGCCCTGTTGGGATGTCCGTATTCTCTTGGACGTTTGTTGCATCCCTGGGTATTGAAACCCTAGGTGGGGGTCGGTGCGATGCAGACACTGCTGCTTGTTGTAGTTGTAGTTGTTGTTGTAGTTGAAGCCTAGAAATCAGCTCAGCTTGTTGGGCTACAACCTCTATTTGTCAAGCAATAACCTCCGCTTGGCGGGCAGCGTCCTGCTGCATGCCCTCGATAGTTTGCTGGAGCTGCTGCATCATTTCCTCTATACTGATTGAAAAATGCTAATCTATCAAACTCTGTGTACCCTCTGAAGTGGAAGAAAAAAATTGATTTTCACTGGGCACAGGTGACTGAGGAACTGGTGAATTATGCTGAACTCTCCTCCGTCTTGTAACCGGTGAAAGCGAAGCAAACACTGGTTGTCCACTCACAAGATCCCCAGATCGATAAAGCCTTTTTACTCTGGTCTAAAGTCCTTGGGGGGTAACTGCCTCGTTGGAAGCAATGATGAAAATACTACCTTGCAAAACAGAAAATAAAGCAAAAGACAAAAATCAGAAAAATGCACAGCACCTTGGCTTAAATAAAGACAACACACAGTTGAACTCATAAGCTGGACAATTTGCACTCAAACACTGATTTCGGTCCCCA